GGCTTGTGTCCTGGATGGATGGTTGCGCTCGGGGTACTGCGCCCCATCCCACTCCCACCCACCACCCCGCCCTGGGGCCCCCCGGGAATTCACCTGGGAGTGGCTGGGGCTGAAAATGTATGAACCACAGAAACAAAGACACAAAACACTTCTTCCCCGACCCACTCCCTGGCACCATCCACTGCACCTAAGTGATGCCCAGCAAGGCCCTGCCGGGCCAGGGAGCTGCAGGCCAGTGAGCAACTCCAGGTAGAATGGGGGTGGGTGGGGGTGGGGTGGGGTGGAGAGGGGTGCAGGGGAGAGAAGGGGAACATTACACGGAGGTGAGAGCTGACAGCTGGGCAGGCCACGCCGACCACCACACCAGGGAGGCAGGCCCTCCAGGGGGAGGGGCTTCTGGCAGGGATCCGTGTGAAGAGGGGCAGGAAGCCCCGGGGAGAAGGCCCGCTGCATGGCGTGGCCGGGACCCTCCTCCGTGTCCCCCTGCGCCCGGTGCTGCCTCTCTCCCTCCCCGCGGTCCAGGGCGCCTCCACCCCCCATTCCTCCGCCTGGGCCGCCCCGCGGAGCACGGTGACCCCATCTGTGTCCTCTGCCCGCCTGGCAGCCGTGAGGGGGGGGGGGGGCGGGAGCGCCGGAGCTCTGCGTCCCGCCTGCCGGCCCCTCATTGTACCTCGAGGCAGAGCTCGCTGCTCTGGGCTCTGGGCTCGCAGGGCCCGCGGCCCCCGGCCCCGCTCAGCCACGTCCCCAGGCCGCCCCCTGCTGGCGGGGGCCCGGGGCGGCCTCGGCGGGGCGGGCGGCGCTGCTTCTTGGAAGAAAGTTTGCAAAGCGCCGGCCTAACCGTTCGGAGCTCCCGCCCCGGCGCGGGCGCCCTCTCCGCGGAGGCTTCCCGCCCAATGTCTGCCCGCGGCCGTCTGCGCCCGCTCCCCGCGGAGGCTTCCCGCCCAGTGTCTGCCCGCGGCCGCCTGCACCCGCTCCCCGCGGAGGCCTCCCGCCCAGTGTCTGCCCGCGGCCGCCTGCGCCCGCTCCCCGCGGAGGCTTCCCGCCCAATGTCTGCCCGCGGCCGCCTGCGCCCGCTCCCCGCGGAGGCTTCCCGCCCAATGTCCGCCCCCGACAGCCTGCACCCGCTCCCCGCGGAGGCTTCCCGCCCAGTGTCCGCCCGCGGCCGCCTGCGCCCGCTCCCCGCGGAGGCTTCCCGCCCAATGTCCGCCCCCGACAGCCTGCACCCGCTCCCCGCGGAGGCTTCCCGCCCAATGTCCGCCCGCGGAGGCTTCCCGCCCAGTGTCCGCCCGCGGCCGCCTGCGCCCGCTTCCCGCGGAGGCTTCCCGCCCCCGACAGCCTGCGCCCGCTCCCCGCGGAGGCTTCCCGCCCCCGACAGCCTGCACCCGCTCCCCGCGGAGGCCTCCCGCCCGCGGCCGCCTGCGCCCGCTCCCCGCGGAGGCTTCCCGCCCAGTGTCCGCCCCCGACAGCCTGCACCCGCTCCCCGCGGAGGCCTCCCGCCCAATATCCCGCCCGCGGCCGCCTGCGCCCGCTCCCCGCGGAGGCCTCCCGCCCAGTGTCCGCCCGCGGCCGCCTGCACCCGCTCCCCGCGGAGGCTTCCCGCCCAGTGTCCGCCCGCGGCCGCCTGCACCCGCTCCCCGGGGAGGCTTCCCGCCCAATGTCCGCCCGCGGCGGCCAATGGCAGCCGAGAGCGCAGGAGGCCGCCCGCCATGGCTCCGCTGGCGGGTCCCAGCGCTTGGGCACCAGCCCGACCCCCGGGCCCCTCAGGCGGAGGCCAACCCGGCCCCGGGCGGGAGGGCGCGCGCCCCGCCGCAGGCCGCCCCTCCTCACCGCGCGCCCTCCCCCCGCCCTCCTCGCCGTCCTCCTTCCCGTCTCCCACCCTCCTCCCGCGGGCCCGGCGTCGCGGCCACACCGGCAGCACGTGGGCTGCGGGCGCTCCGCCCGAGGCGGCCTGACGCGAGGACCGCCCTTCCCTCCTTACCGCGCGGCTGACCGGGCCCGCGAGGCGCCCTCGGCGCGGCCGTGCAGCGGGCGGGCGGGCTCCCCGGAGGCCTGGCTGGCGGGCGCGGGTGCGGGTGCCGGTTCGGCGGCCGGAGGGGACGGCGGGCCCCGCCCCGGGGCCGGGGAGCCGGAGTGGGGGGGGGGGGGCAGGGGGGCCCGGCGGGCGGAGAGCGGGCGGAGGGCGGCCCAGGTCGCGCCCAGACAGTGGAGCCCGCGGTGTCCTGGGAGCTGTCGGCGGGCGGAGACCACGTGGTCTGGGTGCAATGGCGCTGGCGGGGGGGGGGGGGGGGGGGTAAGGCGGGGAGGCTCTCGGGGCGGCCGAGGCTGGCTCCTCGCGGCCCCCGCCCTTGGCGAGCCCTGGCCTGGGGAGGGGCCTGCCTCCCACAAATGCTCGGTCTAGGGGGGGGGGGGGTGTCCCCAGATCCTCGTCAGGAGGGGACCCCAGAGAAAGGGGTGTGGCCCGCGGAGAGGGGGGGCTTCCGAGGAAGACAGCCGGAAGCCGGGAGAGCTGCTGGCGGGGCGGGGACCTGTGGATCCTCTCCTCCCGCCCCCCCAGGTGACAGGACCCCAGCCCTGCCTGCACCGGCCCGGGGCCCTCCCACCCGTCTGCTGGGGCCTCTCGCCAGGCTCCTCGCGGAGCTGCTAGGTGCCCTGCGGCAACCATGTTTTCTCTGAGCCTCAGTTTCCCCTCCTGACCAGGACCAGGGCAGGACCCCGTGTTCGCTGAGGGCCCTTCCAGGGTGACAGGCTGCAAGGGGCGGAGGGTGCCCTGTGCTGCTGGGCGGAGCACGCTGACCGAGGCTGAGGGAGACTGTTCAACCCAGCTCCTCCGAGCCCATGGCTTGCTCAGACGCGTGTTTGTGAGGGGACGGGGGTCTCCGGAGCCGAGTCCTTTCTGTCCCTGGGAGGTCTCCGCTGGCCCTGGGGGGGTTCTGGGCCTAGGGGGCCACCGTACTTCATGAAGACTTGCAGGTGTCTGCCTTCTCCATGGAGATAACTGAAGAACAAATTGTGCAAGGGTTCTACTTTCGTATTGCGTCTTTTAACTTTATTTGGACGTAAAACATATTTACATTTGAAGTCAATTTATCAATATTTCCCCTTATATTTGATTTCTGGAGGCTGGGCTTGCTGAGCTCATGCCTCTAAAATGGCCAGGATGCTTGGTATCTACACAGAAGGTTCTGCCCTGGGCGATACCAACCCCACCGCGAGGGAGGAAGGCCTCAGAGACCACCATCCGGGTGGGAAGGGCCTTGAGCCGCACTCCTGAGCGAATTGGGAGCCTAAGACCCAGGACACACGGGCCATGGATGGCTGGTCCTGGACATCGGGTTGTCTTCAGCGACTCGATCCTCCTAGAGTCCCTGCCTAGCTCCTGCCATAGCAGACACTGTCGGGCCTGCTGGGAACCAGGATTGCAGGACTTCCTGTCCCCATCTCCGCTGACCACACATCAAGAAACCATCTACAGGGTGTGCATGAGCCAGGAGGGTTGGAGCGAACTGTGGCCTTTCACCTCTCCTCTGGTCTGGGTGACCACATCAACTACTGGTTTGCCGTGTGACCATCTCTGGTCTGGTTCCCCGTGGATAAATGGACCTCATGCCTCAGTGCACTCTGGGTCTTCGTGTTCAGCCTGGAATTTTCCAGAGCAGGCCAGCTGCCCTGCTACCTCAGTTCCGAGGCTCCAGTGCCTGCCTCCACACAGATCAGCTCCTAGGAGCACGGGGGCAGGGGAGAGAACTTATGCAATGGCATCTCCTGGACACTGCGAAAGGCATTAGCTTTATGACCAGAATAGTTCCTTTGAAGCACTCAAGACAGCACTTCTAGCCAACACGGTTCACTCAAGCTGGAGAGCATAGGAGGTCTGTCTGGGGCAGGGAGGTGGCCCGTCTCTGCGTATGCAGGGATCTGTTCATCTTTGGGAGGGTCTGTGTGTACACCTTATGTCTGTGGGAGAGAGGTTCAGAGGCTCCGTGTGTGGTTGTTTGCACCTGTTTTAATTTCCACTCCTTGGAATACTACCAAGACTGAACATCTTAATTTTAGTATCTTTTTTAAAGTTGCCTGCTAATATGATTTACTGGGTTTTATAGATTCCTAGAGGCCTGGAAGGGTCCCTAGGCCTGGCCTGCGACCAGGGCTGATCTGGAGGTCAATAGGGGTGGGGGTGCCACTGGCACTTACCTTGGCCAGCATGGTGCCACCCACTCGCCAGTCCCACCCCCACTGCTGCTGGTCACCTCCCTCTGTGGGCCCCCCTCAGGCACCCTCCTTGGCTGGTCTGAGACCTGTGGGCAGCTCCTACGTTAAGCATCTGTCCTCTGGTGGTCAATGTATATCACAGCAAACAGCCATTCCACTGGTCATTCCGCTGTTTGGTTGATTGGCACATTAGGCTTTTATTAAATAGGACTTCTCTCTTTATGATAAGACCTCGCTGCATATTACTATTTTCATGTAACAAATTGTGCAAGGGTTCTACTTTTGTACTGTATCTTTTATTTGGACATAAAACAGATATTTACTTTTGAAGTCAATTTATCAGTATTTCCCCTTATATTTGATTTCTGGAGGCTGGGCTTGCTGAGCATGGGTGGGGTTTCATCTGATGACTTCATCTTATGCCTCTAAAGGTTCTCTCTATTCCATGAAAATAAAAATTACTCACATTTTTTCCTTTCCCAAGGAAATACCTATTTTTTCTCTTTACAAAAGTGATGTATGCTTGTCAAAAATGAAAGGGACATAATTTAGTACAGTGAACAGCTGTTTTTTCCTATCCAAGAACAAGGATTCTCTCTCCCCACTTGTTTCCATTTGTTGCACTCAGTGGTGATCCATATAGGTCCTGCTAATAATTAAAGCTTAATCCTAGAAAATCTACTTTTCTTGATGGTGTTGGGAATGGGATATTCCATTATATTTTCTAAATGGTTATTTAAAAAAAAAAACACACAAACAAAAAAAAACTATTTTTTTGTGTGTTTTTCCTGAGTGTCAGGCTATCAACCATCCCGACGTCCATGGCCAGGATGCTAGACATAGGCAAGCTTCTCTCCTCTCGGCCACCTAAGGACCTATTTGTTTTTGAATGTTACTTTTTAACTGGTCTTCATTCCTGATTTAAAATGTAATGAGTAATATTTGTTTCCGTGTAAAGATTGACACACATTCATTTCTCTCTCAGGGTTTTCCACCAGGGTAAGTCTCATGGTACCTAATTCAGTTCAGCATTAATCTTGAGAGTTTTCTACATCCTCATTAGGATTTTCCTTCACTATGGACACTCTGATGCTGACTAAGTTGGAAGCTAAACCTGAAGGCTTTCCCACACACATTGCACACATAGGGTTTCTTCCAAGTGTGGACAGTCTGATGTATCATACAGTCAGAACTATTGCTGAAGCCTTTGCCACACTCCACACATCTGAAGGGCTTCTCCCCAGTGTGGCTTCTCTGATGCCGAATTAAGAGGGCTTTAACATGGAAGGCTTTTCCACACTCCTTACACGGGAAGGGTTTTTCTCCAGTGTGGATTCTCTGATGGACAATGTATTCGGAACTAATGCTAAATGCTTTCTCACATTCCATACATTTGAAAGGTTTCTCCCCAGTGTGTGTTCTCTGATGCCTGGTTAGTTTGGCATTGAGGCTGAAGGCTTTCCCACATTCTTTACATTGAAAAGGTTTTTCTCCAGTATGTATTCGGTGATGATCAAGTAGATTTCTTTTACAAACAAAGCATTTTCCACACTCATCACATTCAAAGGGTTTCTCCCCGTTGTGAATCCTCTTATGCTGCATTAGTTTTGCATTGACGTTGAAGGCCTTTCCACACTCATTACACTCATAGGGCTTCTCTCCGGTGTGGATTCGCTGATGCCGTCGAAGGTGAGAGTTACCTATGAAGGCTTTTCCACATTCATCACACTTATAGGGCTTCTCACCGGTGTGGATTCTTTGGTGCTGGATTAACTTCCCTTTGACACGAAAGGCTTTTCCACATTCAGTACACTCATAGGGCCTCTCACCAGTGTGGATTCTCTGATGCCGAGTGAGATTTCTATTATTACTGAAGGCTTTTCCACACTCCTTACACTGACAGGGCTTCCCTTCAATGTGGATGCTCTGATGCCGCCTGAGCTGGTAACTGCACCTGAAGCCTTCCCCACACTCGTTACACTTATAAGGTTTTTCTCCGGTGTGGATTCTCCGGTGTTGAATCAATTTTGCGTTAACACTGAAAGCTTTACCACAGTCATTACACTCATAAGGTTTCTCCCCAGTGTGGACTCTCTGATGTGTGATATATGCATTACTGCAGATGAAGCCATGTCCACACTCCTTGCACTGGTAAGGCTTCTCTCCTGTATGGATTCGCTGATGCCTGCTTAGACTCCCTTTAATACGGAAGGCTTTTCCACACACCTTACACTGAAAGGGCTTCTCCCCACTGTGGACTGTCTGATGTGTAATGTAATTGGAACTGCAACTGAAGCTTTTCCCACACTCCATACATTTGAAGGGTTTCTCCCCAGTATGAATTCTTTGATGACAAATTAATTTTGCATTAACACTAAAGGCTTTGCCACAATCCTTACACTGATAGGGCTTCTCCCCAAGGTAGCTGTCTCGATGATGATTAAGTTGAGAGTTATACTTAAAGATTTCCACCAATTCTTCACATTCAAATGGTGTTTCCCTGGAATTGCTTATTTCATGATGGATACGTTTTGTGTCAAAACTTAAGGATTTCTCCAATCCAGTACACTCAGGGGGCTCCTCTCCAGGGGTGATGATGGTATTACACTGATTCAAGTTTGGAGTCTGACTAAACAAACACTCCTCCGTGAGGCTTGTGTCATCTTTCACTGTTCCGCCAATGACACTGCTGTTTTCTCTCTTCACACTTACTACTAGATGGACCTCCTGCTGCTGTTTTTCTAGAATATGGGCTTCTGAGAAGTCTGTTTCCTGGGAAAGGTCCCCCTGAAGTACAAATGATGTATTATGTTTTTCTTTGTTCATTTCCTTTGTCATATTATTGTCAGCCTGGATATCAATATCTATTATAAAAAAAACACATAAAACAGAAAATGTTAAATCTATATATGCTAGTAGGAAAATATATAAAAGATATACCGTTAAATAGAAAAACAAGTTGAGAAATTGTATGCAGATTCCATTTGTGTAAAAGAAAATAAAAAGGGCAGACATAGACATATATATTTGTACTATACCTAGAAAACTTCTAGAAGAAGACACAAGAAACTGAACAAAATAACAGGAAGTTTAATAGATTTCCCCACCATTTTATAGACCTTCTTTACTGTTTTGAGCATGTACCAACAGTATAATTTTAAAGTAATCATTTTTAAAAGACTACCTGTCTCCAAACCAATAATAACCAATAACATAAAGGTTAAAAGTGAGAAACATCTATGTGAAAGAGAAACAATAATTGGTTGCCCAGTTATCAAACCTGCAAGCTAGATTATGTACCCTGACTGGGAATCAAACCCACAACCTTTTGGTGTATGGGATGACACTCCAACCAACTGGTGCATGAGGAAGTAATTTTTTTTTTTATATATAAATAATTTTTTTATTGATTTTTTTACAGAGAGGAAGAGAGAGGGATAGTCAGAAACATTGATGAGAGAGAATCATAGATCAGCTGCCTCTTGCACACCCCGGACTGGGGATGTGCCCGCAACCAAGGTACATGCCCTTGACCGGAATCGAACCTGGGACCTTTCAGTCCGCAGGCCGACGCTCTATCCACTGAGCCAAACCGGTTTCAGCATGAGGAAGTAATTTTTAAAAGAAAGTCAACTCTGCTGACATGGGTCTTATGAATTGTACCTCTTCCTTCTGCCTGCCTAAAACCCATTTGAGTCCTCCTTGTTCAAAACTTACTTAAAACCTATAGACACGAACTAGATCATTATTTCTATTATTAGCTCAGATCACAATGGGTTGTTCAAAAACTTCAGACACATTTGATTAAGGGTCTCCACAATATCACGTTTCCCCCCTCTATATGCCAAGCACTTCAAACTCTCCATGTCTAAAACATGTCTTTGTTGGTCAGAGATCATCTGGCTGAATGACAAGGAATAAAAACCCACTGAAACCATCTTTTAAAAAAAGAGGATTCGTTGCAGGGATGTAAGAGAATCTTATGGAACCCAAATGCAGGAGGTAAAGCTAGGCCTCATGGGAAATAGGGAGTCATCTGGCATCTAATCTGCTTGAGCCAATGAGAGCCTCACTACTTCAGGTGTGTCTGGGAACTGAAAGCATTGGCATCACCCGGAAACTTAACAAAAATGCAGAATCTTGGCCCCACACCACACTTACTGAGTAACAACCTTCATATTTGTAAGATTCTCAGGTAATTCATTTGCATATGGTTTGAGAAGCAATGAATTACAGCACTTCCTCCCTTCTGCCTTATTTCCTATAGCTTACTATATAAAGCTGTCTCCTCCAAAAATCAAAAATAAGAACTAATATATCATTGAGCAGACACTATTAGCCAGGCACATGATACATGTTACCTCATTCCATCCTCAAACTATAAGACTAGCACTAAAACCTTTTATTGTTATTATCCCATTTTCAGGGATGAGAACACTGACTCTCAGAGAACTAAATAAATGACTTGCTCAAAGTCACACAACTAGGAAGTTGCACAGTTAGGAGTGGACCTCAGAAAATCTGCTCCAAAAATTATACTTCTAACCACAAGACTGTTTTCCTGTTCTGTGAAAAAGTGTTAATTACCATATTTTTTGGACCATAAGACGCACTTTCCCCCCCCCCCCAGAAGTGGGGGGAAAAAGTCCCTGCGTCTTATGATCCAAATATAGCCTACACATATACTTTAAAAAAAAAGTTTTTTTACTTGCCCGGCTCTGTGTGGTCTCTGTGTGCTTGCCCGGCTCTAAAATGGTTCTAAATGCTGCTGTTTACTTTACAGGGTTGATTACATGTGTTTATGACTGTGATGTTGGGTTTTAATGCACATAAAATATTTTAGGACACTATTTGTTTCAGAATCTTTTTTTCTTCATTTCCCTTCTCTAAAAACTGGTGCGTCTTATGGTCTGAAAAATACGGTAAATAGACCAGTGGTAGGCAAACAGTGGCTCGCAAGCTACATGCGGCTCTTTAGCCCCCTGAGTGTGGCTCTTCCACAAAATACCACGTGCACGCACATACAGTGCCACTGAAACTTTGTGGCCCATGTGCAGAAGTCGGTTTTCGGCTCTCGTTGTGCTGTTGATATTTGGCTCTGTTGACTAATGAGTTTGCCGACCACTGAAATAGACAATGCTTAGAAAACTAGCAAGAACCCCCTCCCTAGGGAGGGTATGTATGGGGGGGCAATGTTAAAATATGTACACAGATAATAATTTAATGAAAAAAAAGAAAAAAAAGAGCCTTCCCTGCATCCAAATTACTTAATCATTTCTTTTTTTCTTTTTTTTTTTTTTAGTAAAATGGAATTAGGATTAAAAAGAGCTAGAATGACACATCTGAAAATGATCTGTTCTTAGTACAAAGAGATAGCAAATTGTGGAAATAGAAAAGATCTTAATTGAATCTATCTCTATATAGATCATCAAAACTTATTTAAATTTTACTTGTACAGCTGACCAATAAACGTGGCACAGTTATATGTTGCTAACATGCTAACTAATGCTTACATGCTAACTCTTTCTTCCTAAAGAGTTGAACTTTTCAGCATAATATGCGCCTCCCTTACCAGTCCAGAGGCCTGGAGGGTCTGTGCCTGTTTCAGCAGCCAGTGGAGATGGCTCACCTGCTCCCTCCAGTTGTAAGATCACAGCCGGTTTGACAAGTGGAAATCCTGTTTTGGGGGAAAGGAAGTAGGAGAGAAGGGTGAATAGCCTGCCATGGGTGATTCCCAAGCCTCTTCTCTGATTGTGTTGGCAATGGGGTGGGGGCGGGGGAAGGTAAGAGCCCCAGGTTGTCCATGTGAGGGGGAGGGGAGGGCTGGAGAGGTGAGGGAGAAGTCGACAAAGGCCCGGATTGTGGGCACAGGAGACATCATGCAGAGCAAACAGAATCTGCCCAAGGGACACCATTTTGTGACCTTGGCCGGAGATATTCAGAGTACACGGACATCCTTGGAAAGGCCTAAGATGCAGGTGAGGGGAACTAAAGATAACGCTGTATGTTACTTTTTCCACATTGTCTAGAACACAGCTTCTATGGGGTGCATAAAGAGCGCACACTGGTCCCAGCAAAGTCCTATATTGACCCAAAAAGGGCTTGGGGTTTGCCCTTCCCAGAAATCCCTGGGTCTAGGGAATTAGGAATCTCAGGCTCTGGAGTCCCCCCTGCAACATGTATGGGAAGTCAGGAAACCCCCAACCAACAAGCCTGGGTCCAGGGGGAGAGGCCTTACCCAGGGAGGCCACATTCCCATAATTCTCCAGCATCACATCCCTGTACAGGGCCCTCTGTGCAGGGGACAGGCCGTCCCACTCCGCTGGGGTGAAGTACACAGCCACATCCTCAAAGGTCACCGACTTCTGAAACAACAGGTTCCTGCTGCCCCAGGGCCAATCCCATGGCTCAGGCCCTAAGTGGGGGGCAGAGGGCAGTATGAGGGCTCGGGGAGGGAGCTTCCGAAGAGCAAGAAAGCAATAACATGGCAAAAATGTGAGAAAAATACCTGGAAAGCAAGCCCGGGTACATTTGACTTCTCTCCCGGCAGAGAAACCTCATGCTGTTTTTAACCTTCTAAAAGAGATCGCAGCCACTCCCTCACTGGCAGACACAGCTCGGGACCCACCCACCAGCATTCCCACTTCATCTCCTTGAGGTTCTGGCTTCTCCATCCTGCTCCCAAAGAATGGCCATGGCTTCCTCTCATCCAGCCCCATCTGCAGCCTGATCCGCGTCACCAGCTTCCCAGCAAGGGGCTGTGCAGCCTCTGCTTCAGAAGCTCCAGCAGAGGCTGCGCAGTGCTGCCCGGATCCGCTTGGGGTGAGGGGGTGGCAGCAACAGCCGTTCTGCTTCCAGATGGGTCTTGCTGAACACCTGACATTTTGTTACCCTCTCCCATTCAAGCCTCATCCTTTCCAACGCCATCCAAGGTCTGGACAAGAAGAGAGCTCAGCGTTCCTGTTGGCCAGCCCCTCAAACACCCCGCGGGCTGCTCCTCTTTGCATCAATAGCCTGTGCAGCCACTCGGGGCTGATGCTGCATACCTGCAGGCCCGGCCCCCGCCTCCTGAGCGGCTGCACACTCCGGCTGCTCTCTGCCCCCCCCCCCCCCCCTCCAGCCTTCTCTAACCACCCGGGGAACACACTGGCAGGGATTTGCCCTCAACTCCTGTTTGCCAGGATCTGACTTGGTTGACTCTACCAACCTTCAACCAGCAAATACTCTAGTCAGCTTCTGGGAGTTACTGGGGCTCACTCGCTGTGTGACAAGTCAGATAACTTCTCTGCACCTTTAACTTCTCATCACCGTCCTTCACCCAGGTGAGCGGGTGCCGCCTCCCGAATGCAAACCTCGGTTGGCGTCACCCACCACTATCTGTGCAGGAAACCTCAGCTAGAACCCTGGGGATCCTTTCTTGACTCCTTCCTCTCCCTTACCCCCGCCTCCTTACTCTGACTCTAGGTCCTAAAGGTTTTCATGTGAAGCGTGACCAGAATTAGACCCCCCTCTTCAGCAGCTGCTTTCCCGATGGAGCCCACGTCGCCTGGACCAGCGGCCTTCTTTCTGAAGTGCTCACCCTGCTTTCGAACCTCCGTGAAAGTTATCCCCTAGACCAGGGGTCCTCAAACTTTTTAAAGTGGGGGCCAGATCACGGTCCCTCAGAGAGCTGGAGGGCCGGACTATATGAACTATATACTAATTCCTACTGTAACACCTCGGCTGCGCTCACTGCCCAAAAAACCTGGCGGGCCGGATCAGACTCCTCTGCGGGCCGCATGTGGCCCGCGGGCCGTAGTTTGAAGACGCCTGCCCTAGACAGCCACCACAAATCTGACCGCGTTAACTCCTCTGGCCCCACAGAAGGCCGGGCAGCTAAGAACCGCACAATGGCTGTGAGACCCTGGGCGAGTCCCTCTCTCCCCTTTGCCTTCGGGTCTTTTGTGGTGTAACGAGTCCAGCACAGCACCTATCTCAGAGGTCAGTTGTCAGGAATGAGCGATCCATGCAAAGTGCTTAGTGGGGTGCCTGCGGCATAGGAAGCCTCACACGATGTGACTGCGGTTACTGTGACTATGGCTTTCCCAACCTGCAGTCCATGGGGGTCCATGGATGAGCCTCAGGGGATCCATGAAGTCCCTGAAGTTGTATGGAAAACTTGGTTCGCACGTACATTTTTTTCTGGGGGAGGGGGTCCAGAGGTCTTGTCAGAGACCTGCAGTGTGAGCCGCTGCGCCCCAGGCCCTGACAGCCCCTCAGGACACAGGGAGACAGCCTGGCCCACAGGCTCCCGGGGTTCTTCCTCTCTGGCCCCCGCTTCCCTCCTCCTCCCCTGAACGAGAAGCACAGCCCTCCTTTACGTGGATCTGATGATTCCCCTTCGCCTGCGCCTGGTCCCTGGGGATCCCAGCCCTCTGCTGCCTCCTCCGTTCACACCCACACACGGAGCATCCTACCTGGGCAGCCCCACACCTCCTCTTCCCCCGAGCCCTCCGCTGAGGGGTCATTTGGAACTGCTTAGACCAAGACGCGAAGAACCTCCTGCTCACCTGGGGCCAGGCTGGCGGGAGCACGGCTGCCATTGCTTGTCTCCCTCTCAGAGAAGGGCTGGAGCTGAGGAGAAGCACAGAGGGAGACCAGTGTGAGGTAAGCCACCCCTGCCGAGAAGAGAAGATCTAAGATGCAGGCAGCCTGTGTCCAGATAGGAGTGTGGGCAGGAGCTGCCATAGGAAGAAGGGGGTGATCTGTTCAATTACTCGGTACCCCGGACTCCTCCCAGCATGACACTGATGCTCACTGCCAGGAACCCTAGGATTTTACACACACACACACACACACACACACACACACAGAGAGTGTACATAAAAATGTATGCAGAGCCTAGAGAATAAAACAAAGATTCGAGTAGCAGTGCTTCAGCTCAAGAGACAGAAGAATACCAAGATCTTTTATTTATTTCTCTCTCTAAACAAGCATCATCCTTGTCACCCTGCAAGAGAAGACAGGCGGGAGGCAGCTGCTCCCCCACGTCTGCCGGTCTCCTCACACATGAGTGTCCTCCAGCCTCTAACGTCTCCATAGAGAGCCTGGGAGGTCAGCCTCCCCCGCGGGCCAGGCTTACCTCAAGGGAGCTGGGCCAGAAGAGAGGGGCCGGGCTGCCTCCTCATTCTTTCCAGCCTTCAAAGAAGCCGAGACCTCGGCTCCCTGAAAGAGGGGATCACTGTGAATGTAGGGCCCCATGACCCAAAGCCCCTTGCTCACAATGTTCAAACGCACACGGAGTGGCTATTTTCTGATTCCCACGGATCCTAACATCAGTCTTGAAAATGCATACTTCTCTAAAATTTCATCTCTGTCGTCCAGGATTTCAACGTTAGCACAGCTGGGGAAAAAACTGGTTTATGACTTTTTTTTTTTTACTTCCTCTAGGTCCCCCCTAATTGATTTTAATTCATTAATTTCTTTTTCTTAGGTTGTTTCTTTGGCTCTGTAAGAAACACCTTATGCACCACTCCATTCCTCTTGTCTCACTTAGTCCTGTACCAGAGAAAAGCAATATAAGTTTCCCAATCTTTTGATCATGCCAATGTTAGCTAGGACAAGAGTCTCCAGGTCTGGGCAGATCTTGTTAAGTTGAAAATGTAGCACAGTAGATATTTTGCAGATGCAGCTTATCTCCTCAGGATGAGCTTGACCTCTCAACCCAAGAGTTTTGCCAACTACCCCCAACCCCCAATAAAGAAAGAATTCCACACACAATTAACCAAATCCAGATAAGTTTAGCCAACTGCAAAGAAGAAATCAACATGTAATTGTCCAAACAGTGTATAAAGCAAGGCTAAGCCTGTCTTCCAGGAAGCAGATCTGGAAGTGAAACCCTGGTCTCCTTTACTTGTGAGTAAATAAAACTACCTAACAACCACCACATCTCCTTGACTAGACCCCCAAGCAGTGAAGCCCTTGAGTTGGGTAATGTCAACACAATACTGACACAAAACCATAGACAAGCCTCATTTATGAATATTGATGCAAAGTTGTAAATAATAAGAAGTAAGATGCCAGCCGAAGCCAGTTTGGCTCAGTGGATAGAGCATAGTCTGCGGACTGAAAGGTCCCGGGTTCGATTCCGGACAAGGGCGTGTACCTTGGTTGCGGGCACATCCCCTGTGGGGGGGGGTGCAGGAGGCAGCTGGTCGATGTTACTCTCTCATCGACGTTTCTAGCTCTCTGTCTCTCTCCTTTCCTCTCTGTAAAAAACTAATAAAATATATTTAAAAAAAGAAAAAAAGAAAAAAAGAAATAAGATGCCAGTAGTCCATTAAAGTGACATATCATCATCCCATGAACACAAGTAAACTTCAATATTAGGATACAGGTTAGTGTACTTTTCCACATTAACAAATCAAATAAAGGTAAATATACTCTTCATCTCAATAGCATTTGATAAAATTTTACATTCATGCTTAAATTAAAAATGTATACCCTAGAGAAACTCATATGTAGGAGATGTGTCCAGAATTACTGATTATCAGCAGTATGTTAATAGTAAAAAACTGGAAGTAACACACATGTCCACTGAGAATGCATAAACAAGTTATCAGAGTTTTTTACAATGGAACATTGCCCAGCAGCAAAAGTGAATGACTCACAACAACATGGATGAATCTAGGAACATATGACTACAGACTCTATGCTGTCATTTTCACAAAGCTCAAAAGCAAACACATTATTTACATATACACACATATGTGATAAAATGATTTTTAAAAACAGGTAAGGCTACATTAACACCAAACTCAAGACAGCTGTTACTTCTCGGGGTGGGAAGCTGGGAGTTGGGTTGGGGCAGAGCACACAGACAGATGCCGCAGTACTGGTAACGTTCTCCTCCTTAATGGGGTGGTGTGTCCATGGCTGTTCATTTTACTATGCTTTTTTTTTTTTTTTTTTTTTTACAGAGAGGAAGGGATAGAGAACTAGAAACATAGATGAGAGAGAAACATCGACCAGTTGCCTCTTGCACACCCCCCACCGGGGATGCGCCCGCAACCAAGGTACATGCCCTTGACTGGAATCGAACCTGGGACCTTTCAGTCCGCAGGCCGACACTCTACCACTGAGCCAAACCGGTTTCGGCAATTTTACTATGCTTCTTAACTGTCATAGTAGATGCAGTCTTGTGTATATATGAATGGCATTTAAATATATATATATACACACACACACACACACACACACACACATATATATATATATATATATATATATATATAATTATCTCTATGATATGGGTGATTTTCAAAGTATACTGTTAAATAAAACAAAGTGCAAAAACAGGAGTATAAGAAAATATGTGTCTGGTCATTTATGTAAAAAGAAACGGGATAAACGAGAAACCAAGGAGAGTGGTTACACCAGGTGTGGGTGGGAAGTGGGTGAAAGGAACCCTGGAATGGGAGGATGGGAGGAAACTGGGTAGAAGGGACGAGGAGAGAGTGTCGTGTCTCTGAGTGTGCCTTTGGTTCTTTTATAACCAGAGTAATGTTTCACATATCCATATATATATATATAAAATCAACCAACCAGGATGGGATGGTGGTGATGACCCAAAAAAGGAACACAAACATCATCAAATGAGCCTAACTCTCCTGCAATTGAGTAGCGTCACCACACTGAGATGGTGGGAAAGACAAGAAGTAAGTAACTTTGGAAAACAGAATTTTAACTAGATACTAAAGGCTATAAAGACCAGTACTTAAATGCTGCCCTCTTGTGACAATGGGAAAAACTCAAATGTCAGGAGGCTATGAAGGAAGTGGGGTCTATGCACAGGTTGTGCCTGTTTTCGGAGCTCCTTTTACTGTTGCCAGCCCTGTTGTTACACTACAACAAACAGAACACAAAACCTGTTGCTAAACTCAGCTCAAGGCAGAGACATAAACATGCGGAAACCATAAACATCTTAGAACAGCTGCTACATGGACATAGATGGAATTTATCCTTCCTTCGTTCGCACCTCCCTCCTTTCCATATTGGAACTAACCAAACCCTATTAACGTGGCTGGCAATACCTCAAGTGCAGGAAAAAAATTACCAAAATGATTTGTGCCTTTATAAACCCTGCCGCCTTTCTTCGTTCTCTCCACGGCTTAGTTTGGGTTGTTGCCAGAATCCGCTCCCCTTGGATTCGAATCCTTTAAGACCCCCTCAATAAACTTGTTTCATGGCCTCAGATCTTGTTGACATTAGTAAACTTGCTTTCCATAAGGGTATGAATGAGCAATTCTGGAATTACTTTAAGCGTATTCTAGGACTGAACAAATCACTAAGTACATTGTAGCAATCACCCCCAGGTCACTGTCACCCCAAAGGTGGGGAGTAGGGAGGAGCAGTTACCTTTTTGGAACTGACACCGCTCCAGTAAGCAGGCGACGCCTTCCTTCCAAAAGCCGGTTTCTTCTGCTCTCGGGTGGGCGGAGGGGCCCTGCCTTTCCTGCTCTTCCCCTGGGCCTGGCTTCACGGCCCTGTGTCAGGAGCCAGCGAGCGCGCCACCCGCCCTCGGTGAAAGCCCCTGCATGGCCTCCACCTGTCAGAGCACTCGTGATTATCCCTCCAGGCCGCTTCACCCCTGCAGATATCCCACCCACCGGCTGCTCCAACACGCCTTCCCAAAGGTCAGCAGCATCTCACCCAACTGCCTGGGGCTTCGTGGCTACCACAGCAACTCGGGCTTCGCTCCCCACGGGGACGGGGACGGAACGTATTCGGCCACCAAGTCCAAAGCGGGAGTCAGAGAGGGGCCGCCTCTGCTCCCTCCTCCCTCCTCCAGGGGTGGGCAACCCAGCGCCTACCCGGGCGGAAGGGCAGTCCTAACGCGCAGAGCCGGGTGCCGCCCCAATGTCCAAAGTGCCATCCTCACCTAGGCTGCTCTGGGACTCGCCTCCGCTGCCCGCGGCTCCGCGGGGAGGCCGGAAGTGCGTCACTAGGCTGTGGCCGAGCCCCTCTAGGAATACAGCCGCTCCCTCTCGGTGGTGCTCTGGCCCCGCCGTCCGGCGCTCTTTGTCCCTTTCCAGGGGCTCATTCAGGCAGCGTTTGCTCTTCGGGGTGCGGTGCGCTGGGCAAAGCCCGTCTCAGTCAACCCAGGGGTGGTGCTGGGGATCTGCATCTTAGTAAAGCTGCGGTGCAACCAGATTTGGGAGTCTACGGACTAGATTCGGTGGGTTACACGGTATCAAAACCAAGCCCACTCTTTTTTGTAACCAATATTTCCCAGTGACCAGTTTATCCTCTTGTCATGAAAACCATAGATAATACCCAGAAAAGCAGAGATAATATAAAGAATTTACATTTTAAAAACGGTTATGCCTTGACTGAAGGAGAAATAAAAGAAAAATACTTCGTAATTGAAAACACATTTCAATATGTAAAGGTTTGGTCATGACTGCTGCTGTAGGAGACCTAAGAGAGTGGTCAGACATTTGCCTTTGCACTTAGGATGTGCC